ATAGGCACGATTTTTGTTTTTATAAGAATTTAAAGTTCAAATTTTGACTAAATATGTAAAAATTACGGCAATGTTCAAATTATCTTAGATAGAAATTCATAAAAACTTTATCTTTTATATCGAAAATTTGAAAAATTTTAATAATCTATAATAATATATCCTARAYAGATAAACYGTCTCCGCTCAGAATCGTTTTTCGTATAAAATGATATAAGATATAATATCATTGGATTCAAATTTAATTCCATCCATTACAGTAACCCACAACCCACTTGTAACCTATACTGTACAGCAGCAGAGTGACATCCACGATTCTTAGCCACTTTTTTTTTTTAACTTACAAATAATAAAATTATTCATTATCTTTACTTACGTTAATTAGGTAGTTACCAATGTAGGTAACTACCTAGATTGGAGTATTCAATATACTAACATCAATTTCAATACAACATGTAAGATGTAAATATGTATATTATTTCTGCATACATTTTAATTTTATGAATACATATTATATTATATCTGTTTTACCACCAAAGGAAACTAGAAAAGCAATTTCTTGTCATTTTGCATCCTGTGAATGCCGATATATAGATGTAACTGGTACGACGCAACAAAATATCGCTATTGAAGTCAAAGAAATAGCACGTCGGAGAGGTTTCAATGACATGGACTTCAAAGTAATAATACATGACGTATACAACATAATAACTAAATAACTAACAACTCTAAAATATGACTTATTAAAATGCAAAATCTTTTCCATATTTTAGGACTTTTGGAAGTTTCGAAGTCGACTAGTACGYGGATTGAAAATGCATTTATAGCACATCCAAATTACCTGCAAATACGTAAAATTATAAGAATTGTATTTACATATAATCTTTATAACTATTGTAATTATATTATTCATCAGTCGTCACACATGTTTATCATGATAATTATATGTCTAAATACACAGTACACACATACTATTTATTAATAATATGAAATAATATATATAGTAACAGTGTTAAACATAATATACTTTTGACTTATTGTCTATTATGTACCTATACTTAAATATTTATTTATTTTTATAATCTTTTGAAAAAATGTTAATTTAACTCTACGAATTCTAATAAGATTAGCTATTTGTAAAACAAAACAACACATTTCATACATTACATATATATACATAAATTGATTTTTAAACTGTATTTTTATTACCTACCTATATAATATCTATTATATATATTTTCACAATATATCATTAAACGCGGTATTACAATATCGATCTGGATAAGTTTAAGAAATATTCTAATATTACCTTTGTATTTAAGAATATTTTATTAATTATAATTTTTTTACTGATATGTAGGATATGGTTATAAWAGGTATAAATATATAATTAAATAAAAATAAAAAGTGGGTATCGAGTATTTTCTATATGATAGACGCATGAAAAAGCATGTTAACAACCGAATAAGATACTGAAACTAAATATTAAACACTCAAATCACTTGGCTAACCTAAAAGACAAGAGTATTGTGAATTTTTAATGTGTTACGAATTAATAATTAATAATATTAAATTAGAAAACAATGATAAATAATCAATCTACCGAAATACACCTTTGATCGAATCTTTAGCACACTCGTGTGTCTTTTAAGAATATGTTATCTACATATTTTATTGCTAGGTTATTTTACCTTAGAAAAGAATAATGACAAATGACAAAARTGAAAAAATAACCTATTTAAATATCTTTCAAGATTAATCAAATTAATAAAATATATTATTGATTGGTAAATTATATATAGCTACCTATTCTTAAAAAAGGAAAAATACTATTACATTATCAACTAAAAAAAAAAAAATTAAATAAACCAATAATAGATAAGAGTACAGCAGCTTTGTAGCTCAAAATTTAAGACAGAAAATAATTTATTTATCTGCATATTATAAACTTGTAGAAAGTTAAATTTTAGATTTTGAACGAAATGATGAATGTATTGATTTTACAATGATGTGTGTTTTTTTTT